CTGCATATTTAAACAATAATGGTGACATTTAAAAATGTCTTATTCTGCCTCCAAAAACTTTGTGACTCTCCGACCTCAGTCATGCGGCAGTTTGTTTGGAATCAGAAACCACCTACAACCAGTAAAAGTACAAATAAATAAACAGATGTGTACTCAAGTAAAAGCAAAGGTACCATATGAAGTAATTGAGTAAAAGTAAGTACAGTCTACAGTCTACTACATCATTAACTGTGTCTACCTCAATCTTGTTCAAAACAATGATGGTACATCATCTGTATTTTTTTAAATATGGTCAGACTCTAACCATGTTTCTGACATGTGCCATGTTCCATTTTTTACTTAATAATGCAATTTAGAGGACTTTCTTCATATGTGTGGTAAAATACATTTTGAATTGGAGCTGTGTAATATCGATGGCTCCAGGACAGTGTACTGTATATGTGGTTGCCTTAAAAAAGTGCTCGTGTTCAATGTCAAGATGGATGATGTCAGCCAGTGCAGAGCTGAGACTCACTGATGGCACACAGGGAAGAGTTACATCAACATCAAGCTTCAGCTGCACAGATAACAGTCACTGTTTCACCTTTCATTGTTATGGCTTTTTATTCATTTATTAGTTGGCATTAAGAAAAATATACAGTTTCATAAGACTTAAACCACTGCACTGTATTTGTACTTCCAGTTATGTTTTCACCCTTGTCCGTTAGTTAGTTAGTTAGTTAGTTAGTTAGTTAGTTAGCAAAAAAGTACAACTACGGATTATTACAAAACCTTGTGGAACGATGTAGTATGAATCTGGCAAGTACCCATTCAATTTCTGTGCGGATCTGGATCAGGGATTGATCCACGATTGTTTTTTCCACTTCTTTAAACATTGCGATGTAGAGCATTTTTCAACATTTTCATGGATTTCTCACAAAATAATCTTGATGAGAAAAAATCTGACCTGTTTAGTGGACAGTATGACTGTGTGGAAGAGCCAAAAAAAATCTGCATCTTGTTTTGGTGAAGTATGCACTGTACTGAGTGCCTGTTTGTAAGGGCTTTACATTTTAACTATGCAGAAATAACTAGAGTAAAAAAATACATATTTTCCAATTTAGAGATAATCTTTAATATTTGTCTCTTAAATGTAGAGATATAAAAACAAAGTGGCATACATTTGGAAAAACCTACACTGCTCCAGTAAATACTTTCCATCAATCAGTATCTCCTGCAGCTAAGAATAGCCAGTCACTTCTGCCTTTGGCTCCACAAGGTCTTATTACCCCATTTAACAATAACACGTTTAAAACTTTGTCATGAGAGCCAGAGGTCTGGTGTGGCGAGACTTGCTGGTGGGAATTTACGTTCCTCTGGAGTCAGTAAAACACATTTCTAGAAGGGTTTATGAACATTGTAATAAATACAAAAGAAAATCTTGAATAAAAAATTAAACAAGATGAACACATCCTGGAGGCGACTGTGTGAAATGAGGCAGAAAGTGGCTGCAAACTTTATTTATGGATGGTGAAGCTATTAGGGGCTCGTGGGCATTTCCTCTCCTAGCAAGCTTAAATTTTTCATGCTGATTGTGTTGTGCAATTTAATTGACTGCTGTGTTGTGTTGCATTTGAGGCTGGCTGCTTGTTTTGGAGGTCTGGCCTGTGCTAATGCACTGTTTTATAATGTTGGGGAGGAGACAGATGGACAGGTGAGGCGGGGGAAGCCTCGTGTCCTCTCACTCTCCTCTACAAAGTAGGCAGCAGATGTCTGCCATTTCCTTAGGGACAGAGATAAATGATGTTTCCCCACGTTTTTTTCTCTGCTTCCTTCTTCCTTGATCTCTCTGTGTCCCCCGTTTTGCTTCCATTTTCATGATCTTTCATTCTCTCTTTCTGATCTGACAAGTTTGCTCCCTCAACCTTTAAACATTGCTCACTCTTTCTTGCCTTCTTTTGATCCCTCCCTCTCTATTAATTTCCTCTCACATGTCCTCCTCTTTTTTTGCTCCTCAGGCAAACAAGCTACGGACAAAAACCCTGAAGAACACGCTGAACCCAGTGTGGAACGAGACGCTGGTGTACCATGGCATCACAGCAGCTGACATGACCACAAAAACGCTCAGGTAGGTGCTCGGCTTTGAATTTCACTCTGGCCAGCAGTTAGCAGTATTCTCCAGACAGCCGAGTGACCACTTTATTATGCCGTGGAGGAAGATTTGTGCTTCCAATCCCCCAATGCCTCTACCAGCCGCCGTCTCTGCTTCCCAGTTGGCTTGTCCAGGTGATTCATTATTGCATCCAGGCGACACCCGCCAACTGTTCCACTTGCTGTTGCTGCGGTAACTGCTCAGGTGTTGGCTCAGGAGTCTCCGCCCACCTCCTCCTCCCTGCAGTCCTCTGCATATGGAGTGATTGAGGTCAGGCGTCACTATCTTGGCCCAAAAAGTCTGAGGCACTCGTGTCTTTCTTCATGTGTAAGGTGATTCGGAAATGAAGTTTCGCGAGTGTTTTGTTTGTGAACATGTGCGCTGCGTACGATCAGTGTCAGCTTGCTCGGCAAATTCATAATGGAGTTGGATGGCATTGTTTATCCTAAGGACACAAGAGCACAAAAGCACGTGCACACACACTTGCATGCAAGCAACCACACACACACACACACAGAGTTCTCGTCTGCACTGCCCACAAATGCAGGCAGTCAGGTGTGTGCTTATCCTCTTGTGTGTATGTCAAGGGCAATCATTGGCAGGAACGAACATGTTTGGCCCCTCCTCTGTCTGTATGTAGAGAACAAACACACACACACACACACACACACACACACACACACACACACACACACACACACACACACACACATATAAATGGAAATACACCATTTACTCGCATTCACAAACTCACAAAAGAAGCAGCTTAAGATGAGAACCCTCAAACTAAAGGAAACCCACCTGACCTCTGTTCAAGGACATAGCCCACAGGCACAAACCAGCAGTGTGGGTAGTCAAAATGAAGAAGACGAGTAGACAGAAGAATGTGACCAATGTCAAGCATAATATGAAGAGAGAGAGGGAGAGGCAGAGTGAGAGAGAGGTGGCTGCCAAGATCAACAAAGAGAGCTGGAGCAAGAGCATGAATGATGCCAAGTGACAGTTAAGGGGATGAGGAAGAGGAAACCAGGGAGGCCAAGACTGAGGAAGATGACTGCATAGAAACACGGAGAGAATCCATGACTCAATTGACAGAGAGAGAGAGAGAATATGAAATGGAGAGACTGCTCGCAGAGATGGATAAAGTGATGAATGAAGAAATTCACTTCAGCTGAGAGAAAGGAGGAGACGGAAAATAGGGAGGAGTTTACTCAAAGGGGAGCCAAGAAATGAAAGAATGAGGACAGTAAGAAAAATGTGAGACAGCAAATGAGCAGGAGTGAATGAAACGCTGTCTGACAGTGGAAGCGCTGGAAACCTGTTCAGGCGCCGACACGAAGACTCAGCCAATAGATAGACTTTGTTCTCATTGCTCCACAGACAGCAGCGAGCAGAGACACAGAGAGGGATCCCTGGAGAGATGTTTACTCACTGGGTTGTGCCCTGCTGTATCCTGCTCTGCCGGTAGCAGCAGGGTGTAGAGCAGGGGATGCTGTGCTGATGTGTGCTGCTGAGGACTTAGACGCACATCTGTCTCCACTCAGCCTCTCTGTAGACCTGCCTGAAGGCCTGGATGGTACAAAGTCTATAGTTAAACTGGGCCAAACCGAATTCAGACCAAAGGGAGTTTTCCTTCGTGTATGTTTAAATATGTTTCTCACCGTTCTGCACTACAGCCCAACATCACACATGATGATAAAAGCTGGAACGCGGCCAAACACTTTTTGAGTCATTAAAAATTTCTTTTGGTGTCAAGTCCACCCTGCTGCACGGCTCTTTGTACTGGAGGACAAATGCAAATGGATTTATGTGGTGTGCGAAGAGGAGGGAGAAGACTGGTTTTGTGTATTTATTTATATATTTTACCATTCAGTCACTTATTTGCAGTTGCGCTGATTATATAAAGCCATTATGCTGAGGCAAAATGCACTTAAATAGAAAAAGGAATGGTGATGAAATGGCTTCAAGAAAAAATAAGTTGTAATGGCATTAATTTTTTATGCTCAACTCTGTCGCTCTGCGTGCAGAGTGTATCTCTAAGGGACACTGGAGGTCCAGTCTGTTATTAAGAATGAAGCAACTGAGTAAACTCATAACTAATTTCCTCAATCCAGACGTCACGCTTGGCTTCATACTGGCTAATCCCTTGATTGGTGCAGGAAGGCTGCCCGAGGTGCTCAGGTCTTGAGTCAAAATAAAAGTCAGAGTGACTCGGGATTCCATTGTCGCCTCATAGCAAGAAGGTTCTCGGTTCGAGTCCCGGGTTTTTCTGAGTCTTCTGGTGTCAAGTTTGCATGGTCTCCACGACAACATGCAGATTTGGCTTACTTTAATTGAAGACTCTTAATTGTCCGTAGTTGTGAATGTGAATTTTTATTTGTCGCGCTACCAGGTATTTATTTGATAAGCAGATGTTTGGCTATGATAACGTAGACACTCATGATCGTTTGCTGATTGGGACTTTTCTGTCATGACGTAGCCCGATTCATCTTGTTCCTATCACACGACCCCCTTCCAGAATAAAACAACAGGCATGAGCCTTGGCTACCAGTGTAGAAAGCAACATGGATATTCAGATAAAAGCATTGCTGACCCGGTTGTCTTAGTTAACATTAGCTTGCATTTTGCAATGAAACTGTTAACATACAGTATGTAGGACTCAAATTGTTAATAGAGCAATCTGCAACAATTCCTGTTTTGGATGTGTCCACTTGATTATGGATGTAGCCTCTGTATGTTGGCCCTGTGATACGCCAGTGACCTGTCCAGGGTGTACCCCACCTCTCGCCCAGTGTCAGCTGGGTTGGCTCTTGCCCCCTCCCCACTTTTTAAAGGATATACATTCAAGATAATGGAATGGATAATGATTTGAAATACACTGCAAAAAAGTTATTCAGTCTTGTTAAATCTAAAAATCCTAATTGTCTGGAAACTCTTCAGTAAGAGTGTTCGTCTTCTTTGAAGTCTGAACGAGACACAGCAAGTTCTTCTGAAGAAAGTTTTATTACAGTGAGGCTGACACAATTTTAAGATAAGGTCCAAATGTATCTATCAGTTGCTGCAGTCTGTTTCTGCCTTTGGGCAAATTTCAAATTAGAAAGCAATGACAGTGATAATGTGGTGCCCCAATCCTTCCACATATTTTAATGACACAACTGTTTTATGTCCATTTTAATGCGCACAAAAAATTGAGGTGAGCTGTAGATTGCAGCATATCTTGTATGCAAATCTCATATTTAAAACTCCTTTTGGCTTTTAATGATTATCTGGCTGCCAGTTAGTAGAGGAGAGATGGAGCATGTGGAGGTGTTATGATGGGAGGTGGGTGCAAGACATCCAGGTTGTGTATCTGAGTGTGTGTGTGTTATAGGACTACTAACATGATGTTAGCGTCAGGTCTGGCCTCTCTCTTTCTCTCTCTCTCTCTCTCCTATAAATTTCTTCCTTCCATCTCTCCATCCTTCTGTCGGGCCTTGTAATAGACTCGCACCATCCTCGACTGTGGGGAGATAGGGACAAATCTAGGATTTGGAGGGCGATGATGAGATTGGCTCATGGACACCTCAGGTGATATGTCCAGTCTGGTTCGGATATGATCAGGAAGAAAAAACATTTTTATTAAGTATTACAGTGCTATTTTTAGTTGGGTTTGCTTTATTCTTAGAGATGCTAGCAGCACGACCAGGGGGGCAATGTCAGTTGGTCAGTTAAAACAAAAATACCTCAACAATGGATTGCCATGGGATTTTGTTCAGACGTTCATGATCCACAAACAATACTTTTTCATGACTTTAGCGATGGCCTCAATTTTGCTCTATGAGCATGTTAGCATACTGATGTCAGCATTTAGTTCACAGTGACTCTGTGTCTAAGTTCAGCCCAGTGACTGGATACAAAGATGGACAACATGTCTCCAGTTCCTCCAAATGTACAAAAGTCAAGCCAAAATAACCAGCATACAAGTGCTGCCGTCTTGCTTTAGTGCCGTCATTTGGAGCCAGAGTCTGTGCAGTAGTTATGGAAGGGTGGAGGTGCTAAAGGGTTGTCCCGCAGATACCCTTACCTGACCAATCATGTCTCATGAATTTTTATAGTTACTGATGCCCCATCTGCTAACATGGAGGAGACAGGATTTATGACCTACACTGCAGCCAGCCACCAGGTGGTGATCAAGATGTTTTGGCTTCACTTTTGGGGGGCTGTAATGTTGTTCATATTGATGGTACATCTTCAGAGAGCCATGGGTGTTAGCACAGAGTTTATTAGTATTCAACAGAAGGCTGTTTCGTTTTTCTGAAAATGTTATCTGATATTTAAATTGTAAATGAATTTAATTCTGGGATTTTTCCTCCAAGGAAATCAACAAAGGGTCTGATGGGTTTTTTAAGCCATGCAATTTATCTGCATGATAAAAATCTCAAACATTTTATCTGGCATATAATATACTGTATCGGTTCAATTAATATTTTGGAGCATGAAGTGATGCCCAAATATAGGAAACAGGGAATTAAGCCTTTAATCACACAAGTCTCTAGAAATGCAGCTGATGGGAATTCATTAAGTATGATTATAAAGATCGAAATGAAAGCGCAGCCTATTTTTTATTCTATTGATACTTTATAAAAGGTAATCCTTGTTGACACTATACTTCTGAGCTAATAAAGACAAACCTTCACAAGTACAGACACCACGCAGACATGCTAAAACCCTGCTAATCTAATATAACTCAGGAGGCTGCAGCGACACCACGTTCAATTTTAGCACCTCAGGTTGAACAGATTCCACGAGCATCTGTTTGGTTTTTCAGAGGAATTTCTGAAGCTGGTAAATCAGGGGGAGAGGGTGCGAGGTAACAGATCCAGCGTTTGCACCGAAGGAGCCAAATGTTTGGGCGGAACTGGTGTCACATCCTGGTGCAACCTTCGTCTCAGCGCAGACACCCTGCATGTATGACAGAGCAAAGGCACATAAAGCATCTGACAGCCGTGGTCGTGAGTCAGAGTTATTCTGAAGCCTGTACCAGAGATACTCATCAGTTATGACTAAAAGGCTGGAACCAGCATGTCAAATGTCCAAATGTCAGAGGCGACCAGAAGAGTACAGGAAGAGGGGGAAGGTGTGTGTGTGTGTGTATGTGTGTGTGTGTGTATGTGTGTGTGTGTGTGTGTGTGTGTGAAGACAGAGAGAAGGAGAGGGCTGTGAATAGTAAGCGATATCAGAGGAGAAGAAATCAGAAGCTGCATCAGTCCTTCAGGGAGTATTTGAGCACAGAGGGAATGTTGTAGTAGGTGATTGGCTGTGAAGACTCTACTGTAAATGATTGATTCACCCTCCATCAAACAACCGCATCAATCTGAACGAACGTGCTGCAGCAACATAAAAGATGATACTGATTCAGTTGTCTTTAACTTCACTGTGCAAGACGGAAACGAAACAGAAACTAGACAATTATAGGGCTGGTGTTGGTTGAAGAACACAATCAAAGGTTCATTACAGGAGTGAAATTCAAAGGGGTGGATCCAGTAATTTGTTTTCACTTTTTTTAAGAGAGTGCTGAAAATGTCCTATCCGCAATTTCCCAGGGAGTGATTCATGAATCTGGATGAAACAAATCTGTCATATGTAAGGGACTGATATCTATGAATGTGACCTATTTAGTGCAACTTGATTGAATTTAATGGGACTGGCAGAGGTATGCACTCTACTGAGTCTTATTCTAGTTTTAGCAATACAAATATACAAAAGTGCGACTTTAGGGAAAAGGGAATCTCGATTGGGCAGATGGTCCACGACATTGGCGAGAATGAAATGTCTCAACTGTCGAATTGGTCTGTCGTCACATTTTGAACAGACGTACATGCTCCTTAGATGATGAATTCTATTAACTTTAGTGATGCTCTGACTTTTCCCTATGACCCACCAGCAAAGAAACATTTATTATCTATACCTATACAACAATTTCTACATTGATGCAGGCCACCCTCATCTGTCAGGCGGGTGACCAACAACCTTGATCAACACAAATAAGATTCATTGTTTTTGTTGTTGAACGGTGCCTCTGCAGAGAAAGTAGAGACTGAATACATCAGCAGATTACGCTGCATAATTAGGAATTACAGTATTCAAGTTAAATTCAATCTAAATACACTGAAAAGGTGTAAAATGACATCATTTATTTTCTTCTACCTGTATCCAAGATGAAATCAGTCTGTGCTTCCAGCTAAGTGAAACACAGAGGGTAAACTGATTACCTGCTTCAGACAGTCTCTTTCCTCTTACATGGTTCAATTAGAACAAATTGGCATCTAATGGAGTAACGGCTAAGAAGAAAGTGATTGAAATCCTCTGGAAACCCTCAGTAATCGTACAAATTCTCATCATTCACAGAAGCGACTGGCAGCTCATCTCGTGCTGCAGATGGAGGAGCTGATTGATTGTTCAGATGCACTTTGGATGCACAGTATTTGGCAAAGGCCTCCACACAGTGGCAGGGTTCATCTGTGAGTATTAAGTAACTCACCTGCTTCTCCTCTGCTCTCCCCGTTTGTGTGTTTGTGTGTTTTGTGTGTAAAGGTTGTGTGTATGTGACATGGACAGGCTCGGCCGAAATGAATTCATCGGAGAGGTGAGGGTGGCCCTGAAGAAACTGAAAGAGGGCGAGAACAAACGCTACAATATGGGCTTGGAGAGAATTGCACAGGTATGTGCATCACACACCTATTTGTGTATGTGTGTGTGTTCACAAACATACCAAATGGGTTTTTGTGGACATCTAGATCAAGATGTGTCCTGTCTCCATTGTGTATGTTTGCCTTCAGGCATCAATTTCAAATACTGTATTATATTGCATAATGGATATTCACCTGGTTGCTCAGGCTATAACTACACTCTCCCTCCTTCTCTCCTTCCCTCCCCCCCTCTCTCTCTTTCTCTCTCTCTTTCTCCCTCTCCCTCCTTCCCTCCCTCATCAGAATAAAGAAACTAACAATCAAACGGTGGAGCAGGGAGCGCTCGTGGCGGAGGAGGAGGTAATACTTTCATCAGCTTTTTGTCTTGCTGTAATTTCCTATTACTCTCCTGTATATCTAATACATTTTCTCGTATATTCAGCAATTCTAATTCCTCCTCTATTTCCACTATCAAAGGGAGGCGGGGGAAAAAAGTTTTAATTAGAGGTTTTAATCAGTATCTACATGTCTGCGACGTGAACCTAAATGGACTCGTGTGGATGGAAACAGCTCACATGGACTCAGTGGAGCAACAATTTGTAAACCACACCACTGCTGGTCCAGTGTTTTCCTCCTCTGGTGGATTTTATCTAATTTATTTTCATGATTCTAGAGACGCTCGAGGTCTGATTAGACTCAGTTTATGATTCAACCTGGAGATTAAAGGGACAAGAGAGCAGTGTCATTTTGTCCGACACAGATGAGGCCTTTAATTACAAGCTTTAATTTGAATCCTCATGTTGCCTGTGAGAACACTTGCATTATCCAAGGTAGTGGAAATCACAGCTGATTTATCTGCAGTCAATATTTTTTGTTTTCATCTTATCTTTAATTTTATTTTTGTTTCTTTGAGTGAAAAGATGACCCTGCTGCAGGATTGCCCACAGCATGAATTCACCCAGGAGTTAAATGTCAGGGTAGAAACAGGTGCTGCGTCTGACACTGTTGTTTTTTGTTTGTGTCCTCAGCGCGGCCGCATCCTGGTGTCACTGTGCTATAACACAGAGAAGAGCTGTCTGCTGGTTGGTATCATACGCTGTGCCCATCTGGCTGCCATGGACTCCAACGGCTACTCTGACCCCTTCGTCAAAATGTAAGTCACGACAGATATTCATGGACAAACCTGGTATTCTACAAATTATGCTCATATGCAATTATTCTGTATTGTAATTCTGTGTTGATTGCCAGAGTTAGAAGTGGTGTGATCTTTTCAGTGGGAATTTAGGTTGTTTACGTGAACACATTGAGTTCACCAGTCTGTCTTTTCTTATATAGATGATCATAAGAAAAACTGCTCTTATGATTTTCATGATTATCTGACGATGATAGAGCGATCAGGGTTGTCGTTTTCAAACACGGGAATAGCAGGAGTATCAGCGTCGGTCTCTGGTGTTGAGGTTTAGGATTTTGCAGACACATCCATCCAACTCTTCCTAATGCAGTCTTTGTCTTTATATATCAACATCAGATGATTTCCTCATTCCTTATTTCCTATTGTCATGATAACTACTGGGTGTGATGGTGGTGCAGTGGTCAGAGCTGTTGCGCTTCACGGTTTAATTCCAGTTCATCCGTTTCAGTTCAGTGTTTTTCTGTGTGGAGTTTACATGTTCTCCCTGTGTTTGCACGGGTTTTCTCAGGTTACTCCAGCTTCCTTCCGTAGTCCAATGACATACAGATTTGTGTTAAGTTAATTGGTGAATGTGTGAATGTAAAAAGGTTTTTTGTCTCTGTATGTTGGCCCTGTGATATGCTGGTGACCTGTTCAGGTTTACCCCATCCATCATCAGCTGGGATTGGCTCCAGCTCCCACATTCAAAGAATAAGCGATATAGACAATTCGACAGATGGATGGATAATAGCTGCAGCCACTAGAGGCTTTTTCTTTCTGCTTTTTGGTGTATTTGCTGAAACAGCTGCATAAAATTTTAATATGGGTTTGCAGACTTTGCATAGATAACTTCTCTCATAGAATTTGTCCTGTATACCTTGAATACAAGCAACACTACCAACCTCCAACATTTAACCACCATGGATTAAACCAAGACAGAGAGTTAACCTTACTGACCGACGGAAACTATGGTACTTTAGACAAGCTTTACAGACACTGCCAATTAAAATGTCACTCTTAGAAAGCAAAATGTTTTTCCAGAGATATGATAATCAATGCATATCATAAATTTGCTTCAAGGGGCTTAACAATCTGCGTAACATTATGGCACAGTCTGTGCTTAGACCCACAAATCAGACAAGGAAATCTCTTTAAAGTGAAAAAATGGAAGAAACTTTGGGGAGAGCTACAGAGGATGGATCCCTCTTCCCTTTAGTGTGATAGATTTGTTTGTACTGAATAGAACAACAAAGAAGATTTACGATAAGGATGACAACATTATAGACCGTAAACAATACTGAAGAATATGATCTGGAAAGACACCAATCAACTTTCAGGGGCCGCAAACTGATAGAACCTGAGCCACACTACATCTTCTTCACCAGAGAGACCCAGAAAGATGACAGGCTACACAAACATGCAGCTGGCACAACAAGGACATTTGTTAGATGTCTAGGAGAAAGGAACAAATACACAGGAGGAAACAGAGTGACACGGATGAAGATCCAGATCGAAAACATCAGTAACAGCTAGGAGAAGGAGGGAGCTCCCAGGATGTCTGATAGTCAAGCACATAGAGCCTCGGTGAAAAAAGAGAAAAGACAGAACAATGAGGGAGAGAGAGCTAGGGCGAGTTAAAGGAAGTAAAAAGGAAATGTTTTGACATTTAACTTTTCACAGATTACCTTAAATTTGTTAATTTGAAAATGAGTATCATTAACATAACAACAGAAAAGAATGACTGCATATAATTTGGCCAAGAGGTGAAATATAAAGACAGAAAGGCAGAGGGCCTTTAACAGAGCCCCGGGGTACTCCACATTCTCATGGTTGATGAAGTATATAGGAAACACATTGGGGTTCTTTCAGATAGGTAAGACTGGTCTAGAGGTGTATATACATCTGTAGAGACTGAGTAAGAGAAGCAGAGAGGTGGAATCTGACTCCACAGTTGCAGAGGATCTGTTACCACTTAAGGAAGTGCAGTTTCAGTGGAGTGACAGACCCTAAAAGTAGATTGAAAAGGTTCAAAAAGATGATTGTTAAACGTGTTAGCTGAATGCAGCTTAGACACAACTCTTTATAGTAAAATAATTAAAAGACCAAGGCAACATATACAAGATATCTCTGGAAAATATCATATTTCTAGGATGTTTCTAGGGCTGTTTCACCACCACCCATAATACGATTGAATCTTTGCCAACTGTTTCACACATACTTCTACTCTAATAAACTAACAGGCTTGAGGGGGCGTAGCCAGATGTCCTGTTTTAACACCTGCGTGGCGCAACACTGACAAACCTACAGTGAGAAACACACATACACAAGCCATATTCCTGGACCTTACTGCATTAGGGACAAGTATGGAAAGTCAGCATAAGTTTAAGACAAGCAACAAGCAACAAGCAGATCAACAGCATATCCACATCTCTAAACAGCCTATCTGAGCTGAGGTGAAGGGAGGTTAGCTGCATGTAATGCCAATAGGAACCTGAGCAATCTAGGTCATGTGATCACAAATGGTAATGACACCACTGATCAAGCTGGAGGAAGGAGGGGGATGTGGACTCCTACATTCAGGTCTCCTCAAAAGTCAAAAACATAGTGTATAACAACCCCATACACCTGAGCGAGCCTGCCTGTAAGGCAGAGCGTGTGGTGACAGATAAAACCCACATAGCTCAATCCCTGATCTGCCTGCTGCACTTAAATACCAACAGTGCAGAGAGTGTGTGCTCCTACGCAGGACAACCAATCCTGTAACCAACACCACCTCCAACAGTGGGAGGTGTTGAGGTGGAGGGTGCACCATGCACGCTGATGAAATTGTTTCTAAGGGAAGTTTCAAAGGCTCAAAGGTAGTTTTAATTTTCTTCAGTGGATCGGACAGTTTTACAAAATAATAAGATTGGAATAAATCAGCTGGTTCGACACATGGGACTGTATGACACATGGAGGCGTGTATGACAGCTCATTTATGATCCCTTCTGCACCCTGCATTTACCCATATCACCCACTTTGCCTCGATTTGTAGAGAATTTTATACGTGCTGTCTTGTCATTCTTAAATCCAGGCTTACATGAAGCACTGCACTGCATTGCTGTTAAAAGAGATGAGAGAAAGAAAAAAGAGAGAGTTCACACTGTGAGAAAAAGAAAGGAAGCTCTTTCTGTATCTCAGACACACACGCGTGGCTCTCTCTTCTTCTTTCTCTCCACAGTATTGATTTTTCAGACTGACGCCTTGTGCTTTATTGGCCTATCACGATGCATGGCATTGTTGAGTATAAATGCAACATATGCAGCCACAGTATCTAACTCTTTGTCACTCTTTATTGCGTTTGTTCTGCATGTTTCCACTGGCTATGTCTCTTTCATACAGTTTCCTTTAGTTTGCATGAGTCGTTAAAGCTGCTGCTCTGATCTGATTCTCATTTCTGGCATTTTAGTCATTTTTTTCATTTGCCTGCCTGCCAGAGTTTCCTTTTGTTTGTTCTCTGTGTGTTTGTACCAGCAACTCTCTGTATCCATCACAAAGAGCCTCACCTGCAGAGGATTTGCAGACCTGACATAATTAATGCTCTTAGTGAAGGTAACTTAGAAAAATAACAGGGAGGTGAGTGTAGTGTTGGCATAGGTGAACTACATCTCTAGAGTATACTGAGAAGTTAAAGTAGACGTAGGTATTAATTTGCTTCACTGTCTGTTTGGTGATGCTCTGTAGCTGTAAGATGAGCAATCCTCCTGACGAATCTCTAATGAAAACTGATGCCAGTCGCTTTGTGTGTGTGTGTGTGTGTGTGTGTGTGTGTGTGTGTGTGTGTGTGTGTGTCTGTGTGTGTGTGTCTGTGTGTGTGTGTCTGTGTCCGTACATTTGTCCAGAAGGCTTTTCCAAATGGTCTTTTCTCTCTCAGACTCTCAATCATCCTTTTGAACCATTTCAAGTTACACAAGGTTAGAATAATCTCCGAGCTAATTTGTCTTCCATTAAAAAGGACAAATTAACATTTTAAATTTAAATTAGTTTACATCCTTCATAAGTGCCCACATTTCTCCCTACATTACCTTCTATGTATGTAAATATATATGTATATATTCTGTCAGGAAAAAGGGGTGTGATGGTGGAAAAAGTGCAAAACATGTCAGATATTTCCTGCTGACCGAGCACTCTGTATTTTCAATTCTTGTTTTCTCTCTTTTCCTGTGAACACTTGTGTGAAGTGAAAATCATAACCCCTCTCTGCAGCAGGCATATATTTAGCTCTTCTCTTCCAGTCGTCACGCATCTTCTCTATCACTTTTTTTTTATTTTGCATATCTGTATCATAACTTCTTTGGCTGTGAGACTGTTTTTATCACCGGCTCCCTCGAGCTCATCTCTACCTGTCACTCTTTTCTTTTTTTCGTTGTTTTTTTGTCCTTATTGCCCTATTTTGCTTTTGTTCTTCTATTTGTCTCTCCCTAACCTAAACTTGCACTCAGGATGGTTTGAGAAATTTCACAACCCAACCAGTTAGAAAGTTGTCAAATTGTCAAATTGACTGGGCTCCTATGATACAAAGCAGTATGTTTGGACAAAGACAAACAAATAGTGAATATATGTCATCTGCTATTCGCAGGATTTGATGGAGAAGAAACTGCTGTAGTTGCTTTTCCAGATTATGTTTAACCTGTAAGCTTATTTGTTTTGTTTTATTAATACCACTCTCATGTCTGGACAGTGTGTGAATCATGGTTGATACGGTTTGAATGACTTTGCAAATCAAAGTCTTTTAGCTTCTCTGCGAAAGATCTTTTGGTTCAATGAAGGGGCTCCCAATGTCCTTTGAAACACTCCTGCTTTTATGTACATAAGGACTAATTGCAGGGAATAGAGCAACAACACAGTAGATGGCTGTAATGCACCTTGACATTGGCTACCAACCACCAATAAACCGAACAAAGAAGAAGAAGAGTATTGTATTACAGTAAGATTAAAACTGTATTAGTTAAAATATATAACTTAAACAACAATAAGAAACTTCAGCCTCTAGGTGTCTCTCAATCTAATCTAAAACCAAGAGAAAAAAATAGGAGTTGTTATCTTCACCACTATTTATTTTGCCATAATCTTCTTGGGTCACTCGCTCTCTTGTGCATTTATGCTTTACTGGAAGAGCTTTGGTAAACAGAACGCACCACAAATGAATAACTATGATCCATTCTGAGTGACCAAAACAAACAGTGGAAGGAAAAAACAGCTGACTGGCTAGTTTGTTTGTTTTTCATTTGTCAGTCGTGGTTTGGTCCGAAGGTTACAGCAAAGCCACTGGTGAAGTGAATATGATGCAATTAAAAGGTGACCAAAATAAAACATCACCGTTACCTTGAGTAAAATTGGAGAATTCTCACTGTTGGAAACATTTTAGATAATGTAAGTACACAAGTCAATAAAATATATAACATGGTTTTTGATGTTTTATACATTTTAATGAAGAATTTTGAACATAGTATATATTTAAAAGAAAAGAGAGAATATATAAATAAACTGAGATCAATAAAAAATATGTGAAAAATCTGATAGAAGATGATCTGTATTGTTATAAATGTCAGCTATTGTAACAAAGGCTGTGCAAACACAACATGGTTCATTAATTAACACATGCAGAACATGCTGTGAGGGCTTTTTTAATTTCCAGGACTCTGAGGCCGAACACAGGGAAGCAGGAAGACGTGTTTGAATGTATTTATTGTAAAACTTGCAGAGTTTGAGCTAGCCGGCAGGAGTCTGTTTCTTGAGAGCTAGGCAGGCACAGATTTAAACTGTTCTGTGTCCCAGATATAAATCCTGAGGCAGGCGGGCGCACCAACAGTTTCAGATCAAAATCCAAACAAAGGCCGGCTTTACGTGGCAGGCATGGCAGAAGTGACTGAAGATCCTGTAAGACTGTAGGCAAACAATGTATTCAAGATTGATGGGATATAACAGCATTTAAATACTGGAGCCATCTTGCAGAGATAATGGGCAAACGGACCTCAGGTGTGCAGGAGAGTTGGCGGCATACATGAAGCTGAAAGCCACAGCCAGCCAGACAAGCACATGGATATTCTCAGAAAAGAATCAGAATCAGAAAAGCTTTTATTGCCAAGTAAGTTTACACATACATGCAATTTGTTTTGGTGTTGTTAATCAATCTGCTAATCCTAGAAATCTCTGTCTGTCTGTCTCTGGCTCGCATATTGTGAGAACTGTTCATCCTACCGAGTTCACACTTAGCATGTGTATTGTTTGGGGCCTAGGGAAGGCCAGTGTTGACTTTGGTGTAGCAGCGGTGGGCGCAGCAAGGGTGGCACAGTATCAGTGTTCTGTGGACTCCTGAGTCCTGCAGCTGGTCTTTGTTTGTTGGGGCTCAGTTAATGCAGGTCACTTTTACAGTTTCAGAAAGAAAACTCAAGCAAACAGCCCATTCCAAACAGGCAGGGTTAGAATGGGCACTTCCCTATATGAGGGAAATGGGGCGAGGGAACCAAATCCTAACAATAGATCCGCAGTGGTTCGACATATTTCAAATTATTACATGTTTCAGTTTTTGTTGTACTTCTATGTCAGTCTTAATGAGTCTCATGCACAGTATATAGAAATGATTATTAGAGAACAATATCTGTCAGTGCCTGTCAACCTTATCAGTCAGTGCAAGAACTGAAATGGTAGAACAATACAGCAGAGAAATATATGGTTAGTTTACTGTAACTTCCTTTTTTTAGCAAACAGCTAACAAAAAAAATGAGGGGATAATCCTCTCATATCTCTACAGACCAGCCTCAAATATGAATTATTCTTCACATTGAATTTTCTATGGTAATTTCAGCATACCGCTGGGCGAAATATATCATTTTGTTTAAACTATCATTGTTTTGAATGTTGCTGTCAAATGATGTTTTGTTATTCTGGAAATTAGAATTCCCCTGTCTGAGCTTCCTTGGAGCTGTATGTTAAATATGATTTGGCACTGCTCAGACTAAGATGTCCCCCAGGCTTTCACCTCACCCTCTCGTATACGCTGCTGGTCAAACAGAGGCTTTGTTTGGCTGCCACTCTCTGTCTTTCTTTGCTTCCAGTTTTCCTTTTCTGTTCCTGTGAAGACAAGCAGAGCATTGTTAAAGCACCTGGTATTTTGGAGGATAAATGCTGATTGGCCTCTGCAGAAAACGACCTTGTATAATACCGTAAACAAACTGAACCTGTGACAGGTGACAAGAAGCTGCTTGGTAACATTTCATGACTTGAATAACTGAAACTGGAGCAATGCTGTAATCTGGGTATCAATAGGTATTAGTCAGTTTAATACTTGCAGGTACTTCTTCCAAGCTTTAAAATAAATTCTTGTTCTTTTTTTACATTTCCGTGCTATTCAGTGCGCGCACTAAAGGCTTTTGTATGTACGTCCTGCCATCATCACCTATATTGATTTGTAGATGAAATTAAATGAATAAATACATTTCATTTAAATTTGTAAATGAAATTACCCCATCATTCAAACATAACGTCTGAAGCAAAGACTACACGTGATCACACGAGCCACTTCTGCTTCTTTCTCTATTGTTTAATGCTTTCTCAACTTCTTCCAGTTTGTCCAGAACTGACCTATCCAAAGAAATGTTTTCACTCTGCTAACGAACTGAATCATCGTAGAGTTTAATCTGGAATGAGACCACCACCTTTAGCACATTTGGATCTAAAGTCTGTGCACATCGTGGAATCGAGGTCCCACCGATACACACACTAAAGAGTCACAATTTGAAAGTATACCTGTGTGGGTTGGGTTTGGTCACGTTAACTGGGCTATCCCCTTTATGCTGCACATGCCTGTAATTAACGAAACCATCAGGCTGAGGTCGGGTTCACACAGAAAACACATTGTCTGTCTGCTTTGAGTGGGGCTCGGACAAGTTTCTCTCAGGCTCGGTCAGGTTCAGACAGAGCGGCCTGAGCTGCACTGTGTGGACTCGCAAACCCTTAAAACAAATGGGTGCCCAAGGCCTTAATGTGGAAATAAATCGTAAACAGTTCAACCAAATAGTGTTTTTTACTTCAGCTAAAGGTAACATCTAGTTTTTATTATATTTAATTGTCTTGTGAACCCTCAGATTTATTTTGCCTCCCCTGGCTTTGAGGCTTTTATCTCTGCTGCCCTCTAACCTCTATTGTAGGATACAGAAGAAGGCTGTAAATATTAGTTTGACTCCTGACTGATCTTGAGGTTCCTCTGCTCACTGCTCGTTAAAATTGCTGTCATTGTGTGAGTTTTCTCTTTTTTTAGTTGTAAGCAAAAATGCTGACTTAAATCATAATGGTTTCTTGTAACTACAACAGTGTCAGATCCATTCACCTCACGAGAAATGACATTTTTAGCACTCACAGCAAACTCCAGTGTCTGTGCCACCACCTTGCTTTCTATCAGTTCCTCTTCATCCTGTTCCTTCTTCACCTCCATCCTTCCATCCTTCACTCGCTCTGATTCCGGCTCTGCAGTGACAGCCCCAAGCCCATCTCATGCATCAGCTGTCAGGGCAGGATTCGTCACTGGCGGGGCGGAAGCTGGACGGGTAAGATATCTCGCCGCCTGAACATCTTGGAATTTATGCTGATGATGACTCCCTTTGCCCTCTGGCGATCCTTCTGTTGCATGTTTGCTGGAGCGTATAGTCCTCCAACATGGAACATGATTATGATCTTGCTATAGTCTACTGTCGCTCCCTTTTTTTTCTTTCTTTTTTACTAGTTTCACCTTTGTTCAAAAGACTCCGGGTCACATTTATCTCAACAAAGATCTTGCAAACTTTCCCTTTTTTCTGCCACTCAGCAAGAGTTCCTGTCACTGCAGGGCAAAATACTATGAAATCATGGATTAACTGGGATCTCACAAATAATGATTGTCCAGGCCCTGTTTTAAAAAGTAAAATGCATTTCATCTCTATCGCTGCTTACAGACATGCACTGGACTCCGCAGTTCCTCCCTATTTTCTCTGGAGGAGATGCACACATCCATCCATCCATCTATCCATCTATCAATCATCTATCTGTCTATCGAACCCTATCCATCCCCCCTATCCCCTATGACTGGGGATGGGGGTATCCCTACTTTATGATCTATAACCAGGGGGCTAATATGTCTGATCTGTGAAGAATCCACACACAGCGATTGGCGACTGCTTTGGCACCAATCTCGGGCTTCTATCAGCAACTTCCAAAACGTATCCATAATTGGACAAATGAGATGAAAATGGTGTTGTGTGAATTCAGCTTAGGTTTAAGCGATGGGTTGTCCTGAGGTTGAATTAAAGAGCACAAGGTCTTCACTTATTTTTGTCCTCTTTCTCTTTTTGTCTCTCTTTCTCAGCATCTTGCAGCCTGATATGGGGAAAAAGTCCAAGAACAAGACTTCAGTGAAAAAAAAGACTCTCAACCCTGAATTCAATGAGGTAAACACGTGTCTTACTCAATAAGTAATCACATTACACCTGAAAGCTTCTCCAATTTCTCTGCTGAGCTCCAAAGGACTTCCTGTCGTGTAGAGCAGTGCAATTAAGCACACCTTTATGAGAGTACCTCAAATCTAACATCTTGTAATGATCTTGAATGTGTTCTGAGCCACAATATGTATGTTTATCTGAAAAAAAAGTTCTAATTAAGGAATTCAGTTCCTTTCAACTCCTGTGTTTATGAATCATTCATATAAATCATTTTAATAAATATGTGCCACCTGCACAGGAGTTTTCATACGAAGTACCCGTGGACCAGCTGGCGAAGAAAACCCTGGAGATCTCTGTGTGGGACTACGACTTGGGAATGAGCAACGACTTCATAGGTAGGCTGAGAGAAGCTCTGGCAGGGCGGGGAGGAGCAGAGAGGAAAGCAAAGTAGATGACTGTACAGGAGCGCTTGATTGAAAGCGATGCAATTGCAGAAAACATAAAAACCAGGCCGAGCGTGGGCGGAGAGAGTAGTAAAAAAAAAATGCATTGAGATGAGGGGTAATTATGAGGCTTGAGGAGAACGACAGAGCGATGAAAAAGGAAAAGGAAATGGAAAGGCTTTAGAAATGAAAAAGAAAGACGTTTAGACTGGATCCCCATCATTCATGATCTTGGCACATCTGATCACCGATGCTTCATCAGAGTGCTAAACAGCTTGGGCATGGCCTGGTGTTCATAGCATGACGATGGGAGCTTAGGGAGTGATGGGGAACTAGTGGGGATGTGCGGTGAGGATGAATTACCCCCCCGTGCACTGGAAGACCTTCAGATCAAAGCGTTTTACTCTATCTAATGTGTGTGTGCACATGTATGTGAGGCGGCGTTTAGATAAGCCCGGTGAGTGAGAAAAGGCCATCAGTCTAACTTACAGCCCAAGATAACAGCCATTCCATTGACCATTATCATCACAGGTTTAGCTACACCAGCCTGCCAGTTATGTTAATTGAGGCTGGGAGAAAAATGGCACTGAGACAAAAAAGGATGGAGAAAAACGAGTTTATAAAGAGGCAGAGCGAGCACAAGAGTGAGAGCAAGAACAAGCAGACTAATAGGGTGAGCAGGAGAAATAGATGATGTCAAACGGTAAAAGGTGAGATTCCAGAGATACGTGGAGGAAAAAGCAGAGCAATGAGAGAATAAATGTGAGGGGAAAACCACACATAAAACTCAGGCGATAAATCAAGTGGATAACTCGAGGACGGTGGAATTGATACACGAGATGAGATGAGAAATTTCATCTTCTCCCTGGACGGAGAATGAAGCTCTGCAGAATCAGCGTCAGCACCAGTACTGGTCTCATTTAGCAGATCAGGTATTAGTCGTGTTGTGATTGATGTTTGTTGAAGTCATCATACTTACTTCTGCTACTTATATTCTTATCGTCACATTGAGCAGCTGTCTTAGTTTTGATTGTTACTGCGAACCCTCGCCTCATGTAACCTCTCATCATCAGTTCCATGCAGAAACGTTTACAGATTCTTATCTAACTGCATGAAAGTGATATTGGAATGGTTCTCAGAAGACGGCCTGCGTGAGTTGAGATTTGGTTTCTGAAAGATAGAGACATAAAGTTTTCATTTTAGAGCAGGTCAAAGTCATATCTCAAATCAAAAGAGATTGAATCTCTGGAGGTAACATCTAGTGAATGCAGGCTTCAATCCAAGTCTCTGGTTCTTGAGGAGAAGTCTTAGTTCAAACATTGTTATCAATTTACCCGTTCTTCTGGTCCATCAGTGCGGATCACTGCAATGACACCTGGTTCTCATAGTTACCTTCGTCAAGGAGGTTATGATGTGGTCTATCTTTTGTTTGTTAGTTTTTTTTTGTTTGCAAGTGTTGTGGTGACATGACTGAGGTAAAAACCCATTAAATTTTGGTGTGCATTCAGATCAGGGGATGGATACAGACATTTGAATCACTTTCTCTAACATTGTGAGACTTTTTTGTACATTTTCCCCAGGGAATAATTCATGGATCTTGATGAAAAAATGAATTGGGGGACTGATATTTATGAGTTTGTGCCAATGGTGCAGATCCAAAGTAAAAATCCAGATCCAGTGAATTTAAATGTGCTTTCATAAGTGGACTTCTGGGTCCTTTGAGTGTCCTTCTAGTTTCTCTATGTATTTTATTTAATCTACACAAATAAATTAATTATAAAACAATGGCAACAAAAAATATGTGGATCAATCACAAGATGAAGAACACCCGTGCATGTACGGATACTGATCCTGCAGAGGTTTAGACTGGCTTCAAGGAGAAAATGAAATTTCTCATCTCTTGTGTATCAGAGGCTCAAGTCATCCACTTGATTTATTGCCTTTTATGAGTGGAGGTATATGTGCTCTGCCATTCTACTTTTTTAATGCATTGTTTTAAACAGATTTCTCAAACGTTCTCTTCAGACATTCATAGTATTGCACTCACGTATCAGTACAGCAGTCATGAGTGGAAAAAAAAGAAAAGTTCAAATCCTGCATATTTCCGCACCTACGCACACCTGCCCAAACGCTGCATGAAGTGGCTCTACTTGTTGAACTTTTGTTTTTGGAATATTTATAAAACTTGTCACACAGCCGCCCCCTCCCCACAAAAAAAAAAGAAGGAAAAAAGTTTGAGGAGAGGCCGTTTGAGATGCTGTTCGATGATCTAAGAACTGAGATTGAAACTGAAATACTGATGCCCTCAGTTCCTCATCTTTCTTCATGACCTGCATTGCATGTCAGGATGGCTGACCGTTCGTTTGTCACTAACAACCCACAGGCTCAGGGGAAACTCCATCGATCTCTGTTTGGAGGCGGTGGTAGTGTTGTGGGGGTGGAGATGACAAAGTGCCGTGCGTGATTATCCTATCAAAACTCTGACAGCGGGTTCAAACCTGCTCTTCACATCTGATGTGTCTGAGGGGGAAGAGGAGGAGGAGGCTATGAGACACTTGAAAGCTGCTCCTCTCCTCTTCCCAGCAGCAGCATCTCGGGCTACGCTCTCTCCCGATGCTTGGATGAGATGTAGATCAACAATCCAACATTGTTTGCTCGCGGCTGTCATTTTCCGAGGGGCCGTTAGAAGCCAGCATTGCCAAAGTATCATGTTTAAAACTTCATGCTCCATTAACTGCACAATCACAGCCCAGGGAATGGTTTTGTAATAAACCTCGGAGCAACAACTGCCTGCATCTCTGTATCTTCCAGTCTGCCTCTCCACGCCTCCATCACCTCCGCTCACTTTCACCTCTGTCATTTCCTGCCTCTCCGTATATTTATTCCTCCCACCCATCATATTCATTGGCCATGCTCTTTCAAAAAGATCTTTAGTTATTTAAATCTCAGTTTCCAGTAGTTTTCTGACTACTCGTCTATTTCTATTTCTCTGCCTGGAGGAAATAGTCTTGACATTGACATTTCTGTCTGCCTATTTAATGGTCATTATATTTATTGTTATTAGTTGTTATAAGTTGATGCATCAAATTGCCAAAGCTTAATTACACATTATTAGATACTGACTTGTCCCCTAATCTGCCTCCAGTTGTGGAGAGTGTATTCAGGCTCTGTATTTGCATTGTTTACTTGAGGGTCCTTGTTATATTTTATCAATCAATCAGTCAAACTTTATCAACAGAGCACCTTTCAAACAAATGCAATTCAAAGGCGACTGACAAAACAAAGGATATCGAGAATGAATTTAAAAAATAG